CAAACTGGGGGTGCTGTCCTCTCACCACTATTAAAGAAGTGCTTGTACAAATTTCTCCACAATAATACTATCAGTTGCTGTGCTCAGTATTTGTGAGGGGCTTCATGATCAAACCCCCAAACTCTCTTGCCTTCTTCAAACACTTCCTAAGCAACTGTATTGTGCTGGTCACACTTTTTGGGTGTAGTGACATGAGAGAGAGAGAGACAGAGAGAGATATGTATAACCTCTGTCCTCTTTGAGCCCACGGTCTATTTTGCTGTTTCAGAGAGTTATCTAGTTGAAACTGAGGAATATTTTAGTAAGTTAGAGAAGGGGCTTGCTTTCAAAGAATATATTTGCTCTTTTGTATTTGATCAGGAGCAAAGCATTTTTATTTATTTATTTATTTAAAAATTTTATTTATTTGACAGATGGAGATCACATGTAGGCAGAGAAGCAGGCAGAGAGAGTGGAAGGGAAGTAGGCTCCCTGCTGAGCAGAGAGCCCCATGCTGGGCTCAATCCCAGGATCCTGGGATCATGACCTGAGCCAAAGGCAGAGGCTTTAACCCACTGAGCCACCCAGGTGCCCCGGGAGCAAAGCATTTATTTATTTATTTATTTATTTATTTATTTATTTATTTATTTATTTATTTTTAAGATTTTATTTATTTGACAGAGGGAGAGAGATCACAAGCAGGCAGAGAGGCAGGCAGAGAGAGAGGGGAAGAAGGCTCCCCGCTGAGCAGAGAGCCCGATGTGGGGCTCCATCCCAGGACCCTGGGATCATGACCTGAGCTGAAGGCAGAGGCTTAACCCTCTGAGCCACCCAGGCGCCCTAGCAAAGCATTTTTAAAGCAACTGACCATACTGTAGCATTTTATAATTTTTGTTGACTAAAAAGGTACATTTACAAATTGATGTGGATTTAAAAGAATAGAGGCTATTAGGAGAGGATACTATTAGGAGAGAGAATTCTTAGTGAGCTATGATTAGTAGGGAACCATCCTGGACACCTCTCAGAACAGTAAAGTCTCTGGTTCACTTATACAGAATTTTGACTATTTAGATAAAGTCTCAGCTGAATTTCAAGTTTGTAATATGCCTTACTAGTAAACCAAACCATAAAAATACCTCAGAAATATCAGCATTTTTGTGTCCATGTCTGGAAGGAATACAGAATCCTGGGTCAGATCCTGGGTCTTGATTCTTAGTTGAGGAAATACAGGCATCCTACAGGCTTAGGCAAACTGATAATATAAAATATACATGTCAACTGTTTTTTTTTTTTTTAATTTTTATTTATTTATTTGACAGACAGAGATCACAAGTAGGCAGAGAGGCAGGCAGAGAGAGAGAGGAAGGGAAGCAGGCTCCCTGCTGAGCAGAGAGCTCGATGCGGGGCTCGATCCCAGGATCCTGGGCTCATGACCCGAGCCGAAGGCAGCGGCCCTAACCCACTGAGCCACCCAGGCACCCCCATGTCAACTGTTTTGATCCGGTGTATGGGTTCTAGATATTTTAAAGTAAGTAAACTACACTTATTTAAAAATACCATACATTTATTTATAAACATCAAATACTTTTGGAAAAGGGAGTAGGCACTTTTTACCTTTTTGTTGCCTACATATTTCTAAGTGGTTAAAGTGTTTGTATTATATGGAGTCGAAGTTAATATTTAATTTAAAATATCCAAAATAATTCAGACTCTTTCAACAGTTGTGGTTGGTCAGAAAGGCAGGACTTTACTGTCATGCAAAAAATGGATACTCTAGGATTTTTTAGAATCATACATCTCTTAAATTTACATTTTTAACTTGTTTACTAGCTATGCAGATATTTTACCTTTGAAATGAACTGTAAAAAAAATTGGCCATGAGATTTTAAAGCAATAACTGGTTTTAATGTAATGAAAAAGTATTACATGCTCAATGTAGAAAATTTGGGAAATACAGAAAAATGTAAAAATTAAAGTTGAATAGATGACTAACCCAGAGATATTTATTACATGTATGTGCCTGCTCATCTCATAAGTGTCTGTCTCATTTCAAGATATATATGCATCTGTTGAGATCATATATTTAATATCCAACTTCTTTCATATTATATTGTGAACACTTTCCCATGTAATTGAAATTATTCGTATGTATTTTTGCACAATTTTTTCATGGTATTTATATGACATTAAGTCAATTAAATAGCTATACTATTTTAGTTTCCTATTATTGAGCATTTGTGTCATTTCACATCTTGTGAACAGAGCTATAGTGAAAATCATTTCAGTAAATCTATTTTCAAATTCTTATAATTTCCTTGAGATAAATTCTTAAGGTCAATGGAATATAAACATGTCCACACCCATCTGATTTTAAAATCAGCTTTACTTATCTTAGTAGATTTAGGTTTTATTGGCTCTGGGATTTCAGCACAGGGTGGGTTCAATCTGTTAGTGAGGACAAGTTACTCTACTGCCAAACAGAAAGAAAGTGAACTACCTACTGAATACCATACTTTTGGATTTTCTGGCCTCAGGAGTGACTTGGATTAGTCTTGTTTGAATTGTTCTTATTGGCAGAAAACAACTCAAGGTACTGCTCAAGGAAGGCCTTTGGACAACATGATAATGATGCTTACTTTTAAGAAAAATGACATTTTAAAACCATAAGCTTTGTCTTGAAAATATCAAGAGATAGTAAGTGACAACTTAGGAACAGAAAGGCACAGCCTGTCTTGTTTCGTGATTTACATACTCTTTGAAGGAATAAAAACCCCAGACGTACAAGTGAAATACTTGTCAACTTACTTGTGATGAATATAAATATGTTCTACATACTAGCTTTAGCTGGAAAGAAACATGGAGCAGCAGTTCTATAGATAATATGGACAATTGTTTTGGCTAAAAAGTCTGTTTGGAATTGTTCTGTTGCTGAAAATATCTTTCCTTAATTCAGGTAACACTTCACTTATTAAGTACTATTAGGAAAACCAGCTCTTTGTTAAAAGCAAATGTTCTAAGTGAATCAAGTTTTTGCCTGTAAATGCCAACATGAAGGCTTCCTCAACTATAACCATACTAATGTTCCTGCCTTCTTAACCAAATTATACAGAATATAAGGTACCCTTATTGATGATCCAAGATCATTTTTATTTATTTATTTAAAATTTTATTTATTTGACAGGCAAAGATCACAAGTAGGAAGAGAGGCAGGCAGAGAGAGAGGAGGAAGCAGGCTCCCTGCTGAGCAGAAAGCCCAATGCGAGGCTCGATCCCAGGACCCTGGGATCATGACCTGAGCCAAAGGCAGAGGCTTTAACCCATTGAGCCACCCAGGCACCCACAGGGACCCTTTAAAAATAGGAACTTGGAACTTCTTTGCTTCCTCATACTTGGAATAAATCCAGATAGTTTTTGTTTTGTTTTTTTACCATGGCCTGCCTGGCCTGACCCTGTGTCCCTTACCTCACCTTTCTCTTGTCACTCTATTTCTTACTGTTGCTTAACCAGGAATGGACTCTTGTCTCAGAGCTTGGGTACCTGCCATTTCCTTATCCTGGCACTCTCCTGTGCTTGGCTTTCCCCCTCAGTTCATTCAGATCTCTTTGCAAAGTTCAACAGCATCCCTTGTCACTCTCCATTCCCTCAGCCTGTTTTCTTTTTTTCTTCAGAGTACTTCCAACTTCTGAAATTATCTTACACATGTGTTTATTGTGTATTATTCCTCCACAAATGTAAAAAGGGGTTTTTATTTATAAGTACATCTCTGCCTAGAGAAGAATGCCTGTAGGGACTTAATAAGTAATTTTTGAGAGAATGATTTATTTAATTCTCATTACAGTCCTAAGAGATAGATATTACTGAATGCCCACTTCATAGGTTGACCAAATTGAATCTTAGAGGAGTTAAATAAACTTACCCAAAACCCACTGAGTTCTGAAGTAAGGGAGCAGGACATGCCTTGGGTTAGTCAAAGCTAACAGATTAAGAGCTGATTAACAGCTAATCAGATATGATCACTGAAGCAACTGGATACATTATATACACAAGTAGCAAATCTGATTGGAGAACAAGTTACGCAGGAGAGAAAGGGAGAGAAAAAACAACGTGTAAAAGTTTTTATTTTCCCAAGGGGAGAAGCTCATAGGCGATGGTTAGGTTCTTGAGGCTAAAGCAGAAATGTATCACATAGCCAAATATGACCCAGTTATAGAACCTTGAGCCCTGAGACCACTGGGGAGTAGGAATAGAAGAACCAGTATTAGAGCAAGTCTCCTGGCAATGTACAAGGAGGCAAGGAACCAACGGGGTCTGGGACTGTTGGAGCAACTTAGCCAGTAGGCCTAGGTCTCTGCAGTGAGTTGGAGTTCCCTGAGGCAGCACTTAAGAGTACAGAAATCAGTCATAAACCGAATGATTTTAAGTTGAGTACTTCCTGCCATTAGTGTGTTTGTATGCTTACAAGCAAGAATAACAAAAATGGAAAACCATAAAGAAAAATAATGGAGAGACAGTATTAGATGTGGTTGACATTAGGCTGGTCACCCAGCTCCTCCAGGGATGGATGTGTTGCCCAGCTGGGGGAGTGGCTGAGAGGTATAAGTAAAAAGGCCTGACTACTTTGATCCAATCCAGGCCCAAGTACTTCAAGTCCCTTGCAACATGTACTTCAGCAGAACCTAATCTGTGATAGTAGATTTAGTTGCTCAGCTAACAAAATGTCTCTATTGGTACACTGGCACCAAGAGTGGTAGGTTCTGGTGTCCAGTGATGAGCACAACAGTCATACTCCCTGGCCTCCTATGGATAGTCACTTAGTGAGGGGGTAGAGGTTAAATAAAATTAAAAATTAAAAAAAATATATGGTACTAAAGTGCCATTAGTGTCTGGGAAAACATAAAACCCCCAGAATATTGACAACTCTATTAGTTAACATATATGTAAAGTACTATTTTCATGTTAAAATAACAATATGGGTATTTACTCAGAGAGCACTTTATCAAAATAACACCACAACAAAATTATTGGTGTAACAAAATATTTATTTATTTAATCCTTTTAAATCTTTAATCCAAGTCAACCACTCAGTTACTTATGTTCTCATCAACTTAGATCACTGGCAAAATTAAAGAATACATACAAACTTCTGATAAGAAGAAGGCAAATGTGGACTCTAGTAGGGATCTTTGTTTCTACGGGCCCACCATCCACTATTCTTACAATGGCACCTGACTTTCCTGTGGGGAACTGCCTCTCTCCTACTATGGGTCCACGAGGTACACATCTAGTAATCAAGATTAGTACTTTTCTGTCCTGGCTCACAAATGTGTAATCCCAGACAGACCAATGACAATGAGGTCCTGGATTTAGCCAGAACTATTACGCAAGAAGCTCTTATTCCCAGGGAATCAGAAAGCCGGCAAAACATCAGTCGGGAGCTCCTGGTGGCCATTATTTTGCCTGAGAAGGAAGCCAACTGAACCCTTTAAAAACAGGTTTTAGAGAGTAGCTTAAAATTACAACTGGGGCACTAGATCTTAAGTCTCAAAACAACAGGGTCTTATCATTGTCAGATTATGACGTTATAATGCCATCTTTGAAAAATACACACTCATCCCAAGTCTCCGAAATCATTTTAGAATCTAACCTCTTTCTAGGAAGTAGCAAAATGAGAGAGTGCTTTTAGTAGTCTGACAAACACTGTCCATTATTCTCAACATTAAAAACTGAATGCAATGATTTAAAGAAAAGTAATACATTATTGTTTGCATAATATATACAGAATCATGTGGTTTCTAGTGATTAGAATTTCGAACTTGGAAAGGAATAGAAGACAGTGGCTGAGAAGCACACTCCCTCCTAAACAGTATGCTTAGGATGACTAATATTAAGGATTTGAACATAATACAGTTTTCCTCAGAGGAAACAATCTTAGTTTCTAAAGAGCATTCACTTCTGACATCTCAATTCCTGATTTTAGTGGCTGCACACTGTGTACCTCTGTGCCACACTTAGGACAAGTAAAGTACACGTCAAATAAGAAACTACTTTTAACACAGTAGTAACAGAAGATATGCTCACATCCTATGGTGTGAGGCATGGTGGGCCACTCTCCACACAGAGAACACTGTTTGCCACTGGTGGATAACGTATTGTCACTATTAGAAGCACCAGTAAGAGGAATACACCATGAAGACAATTTAGCTTTCAATTTCTGGATATTAATAAGTGGTAAGAGAAAAATCAGAAACTCAGCAAAACCATGCCAGAGAAGTTCCCTATTCATATACTCAAAGCCAACTTCACGTATGTTTTGGGGCTTGCAAAATACAGAACGAATGCCCAGGAGACGTTCTGTCAAAGTTGCAAACTTGCCCCTCTGAAGGAAAATCAGGAAATTGATGAGCCCACCTAATTTAAAAAGTCCAACCATGATATTCATACACTGCCTGGCTTTCCCAAATGATGCCAAATGACGGTTTCGAAACAGGTCATAGCAGCGCTCTTCCAGCCACGTCCCGCCAATTGTACACACAGCATACCACAGCTTCTGATTCTTACTTGGTGGCTGGTACCTCAGCTTTGGGGAAAAATCATTTTTATACTGAATATTCAAAATGGATTGTCCCACAGTGGCATTTTTAGAATAGATGGTGAATCGCCACAAGAAAAGCCACAGTAATGCTTTCACCTCTGGTTCAAAGCGGGCTAACAGCCCTGGCTTAAATCCATGAAAGCACTGAGAAAACTGGGACCAAACTAGCTGCTCCAGGGCCTTGTTCAGTTCAAGCGCATCCAACTGACTTATTCTCAGCACTCTGTTCGTCCTTTTCGTGTTCTCTTCTCTGGAAGCCATGTCTTCTTGGAGGGTTTCTAGGGGTAAAGTACAGTTAGGGAACATCAAACATTTGCAAGCTTGTACCATCTCCTCAACCTACGCATCTAAAACGGTAATACACAAATGACCGGGGCCACTGAAGATGGAGCTGGCAGTAGGTGTCAAGCAGTGGCGAACAACCACCTCTTACATGGAGCCTCCTCTTTCTTCCCCCGCTCCTCCCTCCCTCCCTTCTTTTCTTTGCTCTTCTTCTTCTTCTCCCCCTCCCCCTTTTTGGACCCTCCTCATCAAAGGAATAACAGGTTAGCGCAAGTTGTACCCTTTTCCCACAAATATTTCCAAGTAATCCTCCTTGGTCATTTTAGCAGGGAGATAATAAAATCCTGATACTAACAGTGATGAACCTAAATAATAACATGACTAATGGAGAAATACATGAACTTAATAAATACAGAGAACTCTATGGAACATTCTAACGGATGGTAAGTCAAGACCTCAGGTTAATTGCTGGCACTTCTACTGATTCCAAAGGTATACATATTTTTTAACAAGTCATTTAATCTTTCTGAAACATGTTTTATATCTATAAAGTTAAGAGAAAAAATTAAACGAACAGTGTTTATTACGCTATCACACTATGGCAGAAAATGGATACTAGCACAAAACAACATGAGTGCAGAAATGCTGTTATTCAGATATTAAGAAGATACACACCATACAGTGTTCTAAGAAAAACATGATGTAAAAATATATACAAAGACCATTTCATAAATTAACTAAGGAATCATAGAGGTACTAAGGGGACAAAAATCTTTTAAAATGAAATAGAAAAACTGATTAATGGTTAGCTAGGTATGACTGACTCATTCAAAACACATTTATTAAATGCCTATTATGTACAAGCCACAATGATTAAAACACTCTGGCTGCTATCATCAAGGAGTGTACAGACCAGTTTAGGTATTTTACTTATTATTAAAAAACTAGTAAATTCAAACTATGACAAGAAATCTGTTTCAGCTTAGTTTCTAAAATCAGCCCTGAACACATGGAGCTTGATCTAGATCATGCACGATTTCTGGGCCTTCAAAAGGCCCAGTGCACTAATTTAACACTAAGTTATAGAGGGAGGCATGTATCCCACTCAAGTTCATTGTCACCGACAGTGTGGCCATTGTGATCTTGGACAAGTTATTTCACCTAGTTCTGCTTTATTTTTTTCACTTACAAAACTCAAGGCCAGAGATAAAATGATCTCTAAGTTCTTTCAAATTCTATTTATGATTTTTACTAAAAAGATATTAAATGTAATTTGTTAGAAGTTAAAGGACTGAAAGGTACATCCTAAAATAAAGTTGCACCTCTTGAAACTGGGAATGTATTTGACAATTAAGGAGGTTTTTGTTTTCTGATAATTAAAAGGTTTTACAGAGGATGTTTTTATCTATCTATTTATTTATGCAGAGGATGTTTTTAAATTATTCATGGATCTTAGATGACTTAGTGGCAGAAGACTACATACCTAACAAGTTCAAGTATAGGAAACAAAAGGGCCTACTGAATAATAGGGGTTTATTGCTGCTTTCTTCTCAATCTAGATACTTAACAGGAATGCTTCTCTCCCATAAACATCATCTGCCTTCTAGAGTGATCTCACCCTTTTTCCCTTTCCTGCAGTCCCTCAAAATTTCACAGTTTAGAGGTATGGGGGGTGGATTTTTGCCACAAGTTCTGTGAAATCCTTGCCTCGTACTAGCCGGGAGCTATAGGAAAAGAAGACGGGGGTTAGAACCGAGGTCCCTTTCTTCTCTCTACAAATCTCATCAATCCCCAAGGTTTTGCTCTTTGCCCCAAATATTTTTCTAATCCATTCACTACCCTATCCCCTGCAGGCCTCTTCCTAAATTCAGCAGCGCTCATCTCTCTGTTGGATTACATCTAATTGGTCTATCCCACCTTCTGCCTTTTTCAGTGCATTTCCCATACTGCAGTTTTCAAACACAAGCCTCCCGAACTATCCCAGCTTGCTTTCCTTCCTAACCTGTTGACCTCCAGTCATAAGGTGCCCCCTTTTCTTGTTCCCTAGTGAACATTTATGGTCTGTTCCCTCTTTCTGGAACAGTACGTTCCTGTGTTTTATTGAAAAATTCAGTTTTCAGTTTTTAAGTACTAAATTTTTAATAGGGGCTTAGGCATCACTTCCTTCTGACTCTCCAAAATTGAGTTGGCTGCCTCTTCTAGCTGTTCCCTTAGCACTCCATTCTTCCATTTTCTTGGCCTCTATGTACTGTACACAGGCTACTTTTTAAATTGTCTACTTCCTCCACTAGAGGATAAACCCTGTTGCAAAGACTGAGTCTTGTTACAGCTGAATTTTAGCAACCAGCACAGCACCCAGTGCACATAATGCACACTACACAGACTAGATGAACAAGATAAAGAAGGAGTAGGTGAAGGATAGAAAACACAAATTCCTACCCAGTAGCCTTTAAAATTATTTCAAATTATCGTATCTGGACTATCGATTATTACCTATTTCAACACATTTGTCGTACATCTGCTGTTTGCCAGTTACTGATATAATAGTAAAAATGACACAGTCTCAACCCCTTGTGGAGACTACAATGCAGTGAGGTGAGGGGTGGGTAAGAATGTGTTATATAAAATAATAAACAGGCAATTACAGTAAGGTGTTAGGAGTGATATGCAAGGGGAAATTCAGGGCATTATTTTTGTCATTAGACCTCAGAAGGTCAGAGAAAGCTTCAAAGAGATAATATCTCGACAACTACCTGAAGGATCAGCAGTGTCAGTCTGGTAAAGAAAGGTAAAGGAATGTAATACCAAGCAGAGAGAGAGCAGGTGACAAGGACTGAAGGTGCAAGGACAAAGGGCTGGAAAGGAAGACAGGAGACCAATAGTAAAAGCCAAATTGTGGAGACTGTATTTTATCAAAATGGTAATGGGGAGCCACTGGATAGTTTAAGAAAAGAACTAATCAAATTTTTAGACAGCTTGTTCTGGCCACATTCAAAATGGATTTGAAGCTGAAAAGACTCGAGGCAGAGAGACCAGTTAAGATGACTGTTATGTGATTATTAAGTTAAGATGACTGTTATGTGTTATATAATATTATGTGATTATTAAAGATTATCAATGAGAAAGTTCTAAATTATAAGGGTATTAGTAGGGATGGAAAAAAATAGGTATCTTTAAAGCCATGAGGAGTTAGAAGTGACATGGTTTCATGAGAAATAAGCCAAGAATAAACTGACTTGAGTAACTGCGTGGTGGTAGTCCAGCTCTCTGAAATAGGAAACACATGCAGTGATACAGGTTTCAAGGGAGAGGTAATAACCACAGTAGTGTTAGAGATCTGAGGCTCCTATGAGACAGCTAAAGCTCGGTAGGCAGTTGTGTGGAGACAGGAGAGAAAATTTGGGTGGAGATTTTGGGGGGGGGGTGTCCCTCTGGTAGGACTAATCGACTTTAAATCTACTTGATCTACTTAAACGCTAAGATCAGGAAGTCAGTAAACTAAGCAGGAGCAGTAGATCCTGCCCACCTAAAACACGCTCTGCTTTCTTTGTAATAATATAATCTTATTCTCACAGTTTTCCTGTTCCAGCTAGCATGGCTGTTCAACAGTTTTATTCACTGGCATCACATACATCTTTGGGCTTTCAATCCTTCTATGCCACAGTCTTCACCATCAGTCCTGTCCTTCTTGGCTACTGGTTTGCAAACCTGAGCATTTATCATGATCACTTAGATTTCTTAAGACTGTAGTGTCTCAGAGCCAGAGTTTCTGAATCAGTAAGCCTGGAATGGGAGCCAAGAATCTGCATTTCTAACAAGCTTCCTGGGGATGTTGAGAATGAATGGGCTAGCCACTTCAAAGTGAAGTTCGTTAATTTTTCTGGCATATCTACCATCCATACAGCTGCATGCTGCCTGCCAGCCCTCACACTTATTTCTGTTTAGTTCTCATCCCTATATCCACAGGGGCTATTACAAATCTTACACTGACTCTGGCTCCCCCTTTCTTCGGTTAAGTAGATCCTGTGAGATTAGAGACTACTCCATGAATTCCACTGCTGGGTGCTTGGGATGCAAAGATAAACAAAACATCTTGGCTCTCACTTAAGGACCCTAACCAAGGTCTAGTAAGGGAAGCAGGCAAGTAAACAGAAACTAGGGTACTAACAGAGGAGTATGGTATCACAGGTTCTCAAAGACAATATATAACATTTTGAAACTATCTCAACAGAAAAAGAATTCCAAAATCCATGCAAAAAGCTTCAATAAATATTATTATTCTCACTTTTCCTGCAGTTTACAAATATTTTCTCTAGTTTATAGGCATTATGTAATTGAGGGAAACAACTTTTTTTTTTTTTTTAACCCCAGAAGCAAACCAAAATCCACAAATTTTTGCATACATTTACCAAATCATCTCTATTACCTCATTATTACCTCTGGGATAAAGTACAAACTTCTCAGATACAACCTAGCCCAAGTCTGTGCCACCCCTTAGTCCTAACTCTGGGCCTTTTCCCATGTATCCAAAACACTCACCTTCCCTGCCAACTCTTCCCACTGCCCACAACTCTCTGCCCTTCACATTCCAACTTTATTTCAACATTCTCTGTGAAACCTTTATTAACTCTCTCCAACTCCTATTATCACCACCTTTGACAGCAACTGTCTGTGCCACTCACTTGAGCCCTCAACCATCCTGTGATTTCAGTCATGTCAGTACATCTTCTTTCCCTAGTTTATCTGTAAGCTAGGTAAGGGAAAGTGCCTTATCTTACACTTACTTCTCAAAGCACCTGACACCTAAAAAGAGAATGATTTCTAGCTCAGTTTCACTCATGCAAAATTCTACAATCATTCATGGTGTGTGGGAATATAGCACATGACTCCTCTACTGTCACGGTGTCTACAACTCTGTTATCTTTCCCAGATTTCATATTCTGTGGTCAGCAAAGGAAGTTCTCAATTATTGTCAAATTACCCTTGAAAGGCTCTGACTATACTGGACACGGAGAGAAGTTCAGCACTATCAGATCCCTCCTCTCACCTCTCTCACATCCCAAGAACTGGACTGGCTAGAGTGAGTATCAGTTAAAATACAAGGCTTGTGTTAGAGAACCAGTTATGCCGAGTCATGTATCTTTAAATACTAGAGTCATAATCAGTTCTGCATTATGGCTGATGGATTTGTTTACAATTGTAGAATAAACCCAAGGATGGACTCATAGTAGTTGCTCAATAAATGTTTGTTGAATCTATGTGCAACAGAATGAGAAGTTTGGCAGTTAACTGGTATACTGACTGAATACTATATGAGAGCATCTGGATGAACTGGATGGTGAGGGAAGCCTTCTCTTCCTCAGGTTTCTTACTCATATTTAGGGAAAAACTGGTCTGAGGGAGTGATGTCTCAGAAGAATCATCCATTTCAAATACTTCATTTCTGGAGGAATCATACTTATTATTTAGCAAAGATAGGAATTTTTAATGGCTGCCAGAAAAGGAGACTTAACACACTCTAACCAATCCAATATTTAATGATCTTTATTATAAAAAAATTCTTTCTTATTCCTTCTGTTACAGTTTAACATTTTTTTTTCCTTTCCTCTTTTTCTCCTTAGGCCTGGCCTCAGTGTAGATTAACAACAGCTGGGCTCGATCTCCTCCCTGCGTAAGACTCTTTAATGGACCAAAAGACTATCATTAAACTGTTCTTCAGCCTTTGCCTTTCCAGATGAGTAATTTCTCTATTTTTTTGTTTCAGGTTTTATTTTCCAACATTTTAGTCATTTTTGTGACTTCTTTCAGTTGTAAACATAGAACAGACACTGTCCATTACACACCATAGTCAAAGTGGAATACTCCTCCCTTGCTCTACATTCATATTTAGGCAACTTGACAGTAGAAAAAAGTATATTTAAAATCAATCAGATCTGAGCTCAAGTTCCAGCTTTGTTACTTACTTGTTATGTGATCTTAGAAAAAGTCATTACCTCAGATTCTTTTTTTCTTAATTTTAGGGAGAGGCATGGGGGAGGGAGGAGGAAGAGAAAATCTCAAGCAGACGCTATGCTGAGTGTGGTGCCCAGCACGGAACCTGATGTGGGGCTTGATCTCACGACCCTGAGATTATAACCTGAGCTGAAACCTAGAGTCCAATACTTAGCCAACTGTGCCACCTAGGCACCCCTACCCTCAGATTCTTCAAAAAGTTGGAAAGAACAGCTACCACACACACAAAGTTGTTGACATTAAACCAGGTAATGTTATGAAAGTGGTCTAGAAACTGGAAAGTATCATTATTACTATATTATTGCTGCTTTGGCTAGGGATGGGCATAAGAAGAAAAGGAGTCCAAGTTGATTTTGGCAAATTTATTTCAAAAGACTGAAATTTTCATTATTACTTATATTAATGCCTCAATCTGTGGTGAAAGAACTTTTTTTTTCCCCTCAGGAAATACTAACTACAAAATTAAGGTATAATTGTGGTAGTAAACAGTGAACACGATGTCACTATTATGCGTGCACATGGAGGCGGACTAGGTGGGAAGGGGCAGAGACATGGTTCAGTGGAACACATCACATTCCTGTATCTTATCTGAAAGGAGATTATGGAGGGGGAATTCTGCGAGCATGGGGGTCGGTTTCAGCATGACCTGCTCCCTTGGTTATTTAACCCTCATCGATATGGTAATGACTATTATCAGGAAGCAAAAAAACTTCAGGAATGCACACTGATAATATCTGACTCTAGGGTGCTTTGCTGAAGTAGGGCATGGTACAGGCAGTCCAGACAGGCATCCAATTGTGGTTCATCACTAACATGTGACACTCCATTCCTCTTCCTTTCCTTTTTCTTCTTTTCAGGCAGATACATTCATTCTAGAATACTGGCTTCAGAGATGGGCAGGGCCCAGCAGTAGAAGAAACTTATAAAATAGAAATAACTAGAAGTTCAATCAGTCTGATCATGGAAACCTTTTCCCTCCACTGCTGTACAACAATATTTGCCCATAATAGGTGTAAAGCACAGAAAAATATCATAAATGCCTTGAAGTTACAAAGTTATTTTCAATATAATATAAGGAGTGGTTTTAGTGAACACTAATTCTCTGACAAATGGCTCAATTTAACTAATATTTTTTGAGTGCTTACCAAATGCCAGGCCATCTCCTAGGTACCAGGGATTCAAGCCAAAAACTTAACTCTCAGTTCACTTCCTTTTATTCAAGCTTTTTTAAAGAAATAAAATGTTACTATAATCAGGACTAGCCAAAACAAAGAATGAATCTTGAAATGTGAAGACACCATGAAGGATCACAAAACTCCCCTGGCAGAAAAGAAAAAAAATAACATTTAAGACACAAGAACAGGCTGTGCAAACCCCAGATATGTGCAAGCCATGAAACCTGGCCATGGTTTATCTGGGAGATACTGGGATGAGTTCCAAAAGGATCTGTCTCCTTAGTGATTTAACCTTCATTCACTGTGGCTGTGCCTGTGTTACCTGGAAGCAAAGACTCAAAGTCATCTGTCATTACTGAGCGAAACAGGCCGGCAGGAGAGGCTGGCTGAAGAGTTAACCCACTGCAAAAAGCCCACTGTAGGGAAACCGGAATGATTTCACAGGCATGAACAATCACTAAGGATAAGAGACATAATGAGATATATTTTTAAAAGATTAATCTATTGAGAGCAGAGTTCAAGAAGACTGAAGAAAACAAATGCTAAAGCTCCCGAAGACCAGTGAGAGGGTATGTACTACAATGCAAGGCCCTTAACGAAGGTGCTAATAACTTTCTGAAAGAGTTAAAGTAATGACCTAATTCATTAAGAACTAATCAAAATCAAAAAGATTATGGCGCCTTCACATTTTTGGATCAAAAATCCCCAATTTTTTTTTTTTTTTTTTTTTTTGGTAAACCAGTACTTTCCTGATTCTGTTACACTGATTGCCATCCACACCCAACATTAAGCCAGTCTATTTCTACTTACCTTCAGGAATTTAGTTTAAGTAAGGTTTAGTGATCCCCATATTATAGGTTCTTGTAGATTAGTATCTAGTTTTGCAAAAGTAGGCTCCAACTTGAATAGTTAAAAAAAAAAAAATACAAACTAATCTTTTTCTTTAAAGCTGGGATTGTTCAGAATTGAAATGAACACCATCAGATTTAATTCAAATTGATTTTTCCAGAATGTCAAAAAACAGGCAATACCTTTTCCTACTCTGCCATGAAATCTCATTCTTTTAATACACAATTCTATAACCCTTTCCCTTCCCAATCCCTATTTCCCAAATTGCACTAATTTAAGATTCTAAAGGGCCAACACAGAGGGAAACATTTATAGTCATGCGAAGAGACTCATAAAAATAATTAATTAAAAGTATAATTGGCATTACACAATATGTGTTTAGTGAAGGATACTACTATGTTAAGGATATGGAAAAAGATAGTCAAGGCAAATTATAGCATCTATAGGGTTAGTCTGATTAACTTGTCCCATAAATATGTTTAAAACAAAATGATCTAGCACTAAGAACTATTAAAAAGGTCTCCTGCTGATGTTTTATCACTAGACATGTCATACAGCTTTTCTTTCAGAAAAAAAAAAAACCCTGAAATTTATTAAGAGCAGTAATATATAAACCTATTTTTAAATAGCTCATCTTTTTTTTTTTTTTTTACGATTTTATTTATTTGACAGAGAGAGACAGAGAGACACAGCAAGAGAGGGAACACAAGCAGGGGCAGTGGGAGAAGGAGAAGCAGGCTTCCTGCAGAGCAGGGAGCCCGATGTAGGGCTCTATCCCAGGACCCTGGGATTATGACCTGAGCCGAAGGCGGACATTTAACGACTGAATCACCCAGGTGCCCTTATCCTTCCCTTTTATGCTTTCCATGACCCCAAATAAAAACTTTGTCATCTATATCACATTCCAAAACCAAAACAAACAACTGAATCACTAACACTAAAGAAGGAAGAATTTTCAGAATCTATTTCAGAGCTTATACTGAGTATAGTACAAATTATGAATGAATGTATTTTATTTAAAACATGTTATTGACAGAAATCTATCAATAATAATGTGAGTATTGTCAAGGGCCTGTCAATATTAATGTAATTATGATTAAGGGGATAACATGGATTTTTAGCTATAATACCAAGTAACATCTCCTACATTGCTGCTATCAATATACACATTATTATTGACCTGTTCTGAGA